GGATGTTAAGAGGTTCCCTCCACATTGTAGCCCAATACTGCAGGGAAGAGTTGCTGGTTTTCAATAATCAAAAAACAGACCAAGAAAAATGGTATTCTTCAATAGCACTAAGACTCACAGACGGTTTATCAGAATGGGAGAAACAGCCCACCTTCCTTTAAGCTCTCAGAGCCAAGTGGCACCAAGGTTACACGATGTCATGTATGAGATTTTGCATGATATCCACCCCCACTCTGGGGGTGGGGCTTTGATCAATATGGTTTCAGCCACCTTCTTGACCCACCCACTCCCCATCACAAAGATACCCCCGAAAACTGCTTCTCTCTTAGCTCAAAGGGGCTTTTTGGCAGCATCAAAATTCCACTGAAATCAGGAGACAAGCACATCGCTGCTGAAACCAAATTTTTGGTTGTTAAGCCAAGAGCACAACCCTTGTGTGAGATGCATCCAGGCCTTGCCTCCAACCTGGTTATCAATGAAAAAGAACCAGTTTTTAAAAATCCCTTTTTAAACCACGTAAATATTTTCCAGACACAGCCACTGAGTCTGGAGGCCAGGTTTCCTAGCACGGAATCCAAGTTTGGCAGTAGATGATTTTTATCTGGCCATGAGTCAATTTCGCTCCAGCAGAACTGCTCCCACAAATAGTAATAGATAGCTTTGGATCTCAATGGGTGGAAGAGGGAAGGCATGACAAAATGGTCAACTATGGCTTGTCCCCTGAGTTCCCACTTCATTCTGGCTCGATAAAGCCAAGGAGGTAATTAAACATGGGGTTGTAGAAACCGAGTTTTGGCAAGACTTCAGTCCATCTGCAAGGCTACTTCATTCTGTAAGAGCAAATCAAAGTTACTTCTCTGTGGACAATTTAATTTCACTTATCTATCCAAGATACTGATAGACACTTTCAAGACCCCAGTTCAATGCTCCAGTATACCAGTCCCTGACCAGCTGAATATTCTCTTATTTGTTCTCTGAGAATACCCTGAAGGTAAATGATATGGTGGCAAAATTCTTTTGTCTAGCAACAAGAACTTGTACCAAGAAAATATCTATCAAAATATCTATCCAAATGTTTCAAGTGTGGGCTGAAACAACTAAAGAATATTATATATTGAAATTTTGTTAATTATTAGATGTTATATTTTATGGAAGCTTTTATATGCATATATTCTGTTTTTTTTTCTGTAATCAAGATCAATTCATTTTTATCAGCCTTTCTTTTTGGCTTATGCATTCACACAGCATAGTAGTCAAGGCTAAAATGGGATTAACCTGGTTTGGGTTGTGGAATCCCTGCTCTTGCTTTGCCTGTGATGTGAACCTGTCCATCACAATAAGACAATCTATGATTACTTCTTTGGGTATAGTCTGTCATTTGAATATCGCTATGGTCTATTGTTAACCTGGGTTGAGAGTTTAGTGTGTTGTGTGAACTCAGCCCAACCTGGTGCCTTTCAGCTTCTGAAGTTAGAATTTCTCAGATTTCCAAGGATACTTTTTTGGAAGTTGCAGTCCTGATATATCAGAAAGCCACTAAATTGGGGCATCAGATTAAGGAAGGCAGCTTCTGTTCCTTGATCCTCACTCTTCTTTTTCAGCCTGGTTGGCCATTAATCCACCACTATATTGTGATGCAGCCATTGCTTTCTTTACAAATGATCTCCAGTTTCAAGTACAGTTGGGAGATCCTCCTACCTGACACCTTGGAAAGCTGCTGCCAATCGGTGTGAATAATACTTTGGCAAGAGGCATGACATGGAGCAAATGGACAGGGAGAAACTTCTCCTTCTTGACAAAGCCTAGGACCAAGATCATCTAGTGAAGCGAATCCAAAGAAGATCTAGAACAGACAAAAGAAAGTACTTTCTTATGCAGTGCATAATTAGCCTGTGGAATTCATTACAAGAGGTGGTGATGGCCATGAAGTTGGATGGTTTTAAAAGGGAGATTAGATAAATTCATGGAAGATAATCTAGTAAAGGCAACTGGTCTTAAACAATCAATGCTACTTCTGGGTTGGGACATTGCACTTACAAGTACCAGTTGCAGGGGAGCATCAGGGAGGGAGGGGCTCCCCAGGTATATCTGGCTGGCCCTTGTAAGAGAGACATTCTAGACTAAGACAGGCCTTGGCTTGGTCCAGCAAGGCTCTTCTTGAGTTCTTGAGGACCTGACTTGAGCAATGTGTATACCAGAGTCCTTTCTCTATGTGAGGCACTTGCACAGTGAAAGATTTCCAATGTGGATTTGCTGCTCCAGAGGCAGAGGGCTGACAATAACTGCTATACTTAAGCTGTGAGTGAAAGTTATTTACTGTAATAACTGCTGGTGACAAGAGGGCAGTGCATTTTTGCTGAGAAATAACTCTATACTTGCAGTTTCTGCCTATGCACTTGTCTAGGGTCCTGAAAAAGAAATAGATCCTTTTGTGCTCATCAGTCTGTTGAGGGAAGTAGATATGGAAGTTCTCCCTTATGTCTGAGGGAACTGAGAGCGTGGTGCAAGGGTGGAGATAGTGGCTTAGGACTTGGGAGGCTGGGGTTCTGGCTCTTCCTCAGCCCTGGAAGCTCCTTGAGTGACTTTGGGCCAATCACTCTCTTTCAGCCCAGCTTACCTTGCAGGGCTGTGGGAAAAATAGGAGCAGGGAGTGCTATGAGGGCCTGAAAGAAAGGTGGGATATAAAATCAATCGCAGTGTTTTTCTCACAGTTGTATTAATATGTATTCCTTGAGTTGACAACAAAAAATGTTAGCATAATTTTTTTTAGATTTTTTTTTACCCTGCCTTTATTATTTTTATAAATAACTCAAGGTGGTGAACATACCTAATACTCCTTCCTCCTCCTATTGTCCCCACAATTTGTGCTTTTTCCAGTGGCCAGTCATTCATGCGCCTCAGCAACGAGGCTTACATATGACCTGTCCATACAGCTTGACTGTGGGACAATTGAAGAGTAGCGATTGATTGATTTCTCCTCCAGGCATCACTAGCAGGGGAGAAGTCCACCACTGAACACTCGTGAATGTGTGGTTGGCAGGCTTGGGTAAGTGTGGCTGGGGGCTTAGGAGGGAGGGCAGGTGCAGGTGTGATCTGTATCTCAGGCTATTTCTGAATATGGGCTTACTGATTTCCTGAGAAACTGGTAGGCTGATGTCCAAAAATAGCCCAGCTGAGAGGTTGGTGGGACAGAAGAGGAGTGTGGGCTGAAGCGGGAGGTAGCTTGCAGGGCACATTGAGAGAACTCCTTCCCCTTCTTTCCAGACCCACCACCAACTTTCATTTAGGCTATTTTTCAACACAGGTTTACTGGTCCTCCTATTGCGTGGGGTGGATTTGAAAACTGGCCAAACGCTTACCAATTTCTCCTCAGCTTCCAAACAAAGTGCTGAAGAGTTGGTAGCAAGCGATTGTGGTTGGCAGCACCCAGAAGTATCCCGTAGACTCCAAAATGACACTGGAGAATGCAGAATCGCATCCCCAAATAATAAAAACAGCAGAAAGCAGGCACATGTGAAAGAACCACCGGAAAACTTACAATGCCCTCATCTGGGATAGAACTAGCAACACACACCAGGCAGAACTCAGATCGCTTTTCCAGATGAAACTGACCTTCCATATGGACAGCACTACTCCTGTTTTTAAACACAGGTCTAGTACTTTTCCCAAAGACTGCTAAACACACATACACACACACACACACACGTAGGTCTAACAGTCTTTCAGGACACTAGGCCTGGGAAAAGGAGGCTGTTTAATGCCTGGGGGAAACTTTGCATGGTTCTGGTAAGGCATTACGTGGATTGGAAGCCACGTGCCTGGTTTCTCCTGCATCTCGAGCCCAAATGGGGTGGGGTATCCCTGCAACAGCTGAAAGCGCTGAATGGGATGTCAGGATGGTACCTGCAAGGGTGCGACTGAAGCTCCATCTGTTTTTATGGCTGCACAGGACACATGTAAAAATTAGATGGAGCTTTGATCTCACCATTGAGGTTACCATCTTGACTTTTTTTTTTACTATACCCTTTAGATATCCTGCTAGCCCCTCACCATGGCATTGGGAACAATATCAATTAGGCATAGTAGAATATTAGTATGTCAAGACTTGTATCAGGACAACTGAAGTGCTTGAACCTCTTTAGAAGCAGAGCAGCCCAAGATGGAGGCTGCATTTGTGGTGGGCTGGAAGGAGAGAAAGGCTGTGTCCTGAGGGTGGGTCCAGCAAAAACAATAGCCACTGTTACCGAAAACTGTTTCAGAGGGGTGACCCTCTGAATTTGCTTTCTCAACACTTTAGGGGGTTTTGGCATACAGTAATATTTATTTTATGATCCATGTAAACTTCCTGTTTTTCATTTGTTGTAAACATTTCTAAAGCCTTTCCCGTATCTTTGTTTTTTTTTTTTCATTCTTCTCGATTGCTTTGAGGGTCTTGAAGATCTAATAATTAAAACAATGCATTTTATACTTGCTTGATGTAAAAAATTCCTAAAGTTATAAGAAGATGAGAAGAGCATGTTGTGAAGACCAAGAAGACCGAGACCTCAAATGCTACAGTGACTGTTTAGAAGATGCTTTTCCAACCAGAAAAAATGCAAAATGTTCTCCTTGACGATGACTCCTGTAGTTAGTGCTATGCGGCCCCTTCAGGGATATCACATTTCTCCAGGACTGAAAAACAGAATTGGTTAATCCTGGGAAAATGTGATTTCCAGATATTCCCGATGTTCCACCCACTTAGTGTACCCACTGTGATATGACATATTCTGGGCAAGGGAATGTATTGCTGTTCTTCCAATACCTGTCAGTTAAATCCAGGGATATCATGGATGATGGACTATGTATTTTGTTACAAATTCATTTCCTTTTCCTTTTATTTGTTTTCAGTTCTGACTTCATTGACTAGGTTTGCTGAAGATCTTGCTTAGATGTTCAGAGCTTTGAACCTGGGCTCATGGCTTGTTTATGTCTCGGTTCTCTTCTCCCTCTTGTCTTTGCAGACATTATGGGTTGCTGCTACAGTTTAGACTATGATGATGATTTGGCCATGGGCACTGAGATTTGTGAGGTGTGTCACTATCCTATTGATCCAGCCACCAAGCCTCAGGTGAGAAATCCCACTCATTGCTCTGGTGTCCTCATCTGGAGATTAATCCCAGAACTCCTTTTTGAAAACTTATTGTGGCCCTTTTATATGCATGGTACAAAGTCTCACCCTAAGCTCCTGCACACTGGCTTGTGTATTCCAGCTGTTCCCTGAAATACAGGGAGTCCCCAGTTTAAGAACGAGTTCCGTTCCCAAGGTCTGTCCTTAAGTCGAATTAGTATGTAAGCTGGAACAATATTATTGTATAATACTGTATATGTAGTATTGTGTAATTAACTTGAACCATTGTACGTTTAATTCGAATTATTGTGTATTTAACTTGAATTTTGCTACAATAGGCTCTGTTCTTAACTATGGATCATCTGTAAACTGGGGATTCTTAACCCGGCGACTACCTGTAGGTGTTCCATATCTGGCCCAGCTTGTATACCCAATTTCACAGCTGGGAGGATCAATTTTTTTGTTTTAGCCAGATCATGAAATGTGGCGTGTCATGAAGCTCTCTGTGAATAATAATCATAATTTCATTTGGGTGAGGAGGAAAGATTTTAGTTCTGTTTTTCTTCCACCACATTTAAAACAAAAAAGCTAATGTTCCACCCCTCTTGCAATTAAAGGATGTTCGATTTTATCATTGTTTCTCCTGCAGAGACCCGCTTTAAACGGCTCTGGGTTGCACGCTCCTCTGTTGCCGTCTGAAGGGATTCCTCCTCCTAGTTCACCCCTTCAAGGTGAGCATTTTATTCTCCTTCCAACTTCTGACTGGCCAAGGCTGTGTATAGGCTGTCTGGATTCCTTAGCAATGCAGTAAATCTGTGGCATCTTAGGATGGGGCTGACAAGTCGATGGGTTGGGGGCAAATTTAGGGCAGAGAACAAAATAAGTTTATCAACAGCTGGGAGAGGTCCCAGGGGTGCATTCCCCCATCTGATGAAAATTGTTGCCGTATCCTTCATCTTCTTTTCAGCCTGTGAATTCGGCAAGCTTAAGCTGTCCTTAGCTCTATTGGTATTAAATCGTCTTTCCCCCATTATTCTAACCCTATCCAAGAGCAGCTGTAAAGTGTGTTGAATCTGTGAAGCTTTGTCTCCCGTGATTGTACTGTGGAAGGCGGGGGACCACAATGATGGGGAACAGAGACAAGGGAGGCAGGAGAGGGATTACAACATAGATGGCAGATTTTATGCTGGCTTACTTTTCAGCCAGCCCACGGATGGGTGGAGAGTCCTTCAACTCAACAGGGCAACAGAAGAATCTTGAGTGTTCTCCTCAAAGCAGGAAGGGAGACGTGTATTAATTAATTAATTACACTCGTCTACTGCTTCTCATTTAAAAACCACCCCAAAGCCTGAAAAATCTCCTAAGCCTGCACTCCTATGGTGACTAAACAAAGATGTAAACCAATTCAAAGACAGGAAAGGAAGTTCATTCAAATTACTGAAAGTTATAGCATCATAGAGATGGAGGAAGAGACCTCAGAAGTTACAGAGTTCAGTCCTTTCCAACCACCAGAAATACTACACAATTTGGTTTTATTGACTTTGTCACTTGAAATTAAGTGCTTGCTTTGCTGATATAGGACTTTTGTTGTTAAGGCAGGATCTGTGGCAGTTCAGGGGATGCCATATTTGGCACTCTCTTGGTAACTGGTTGACTCAACTTTATCTCTTCTCATTGTCTCAGTGGTTCAAGGTTGGCAGAAGTGAAGATGAGAGCCAGTCAGCTCCAAAGAATTGGCAGGAGATTAGGGACTAGCAATGATAGTACAGAAGTGCCCATGAAGATGTGATGGTTCTTCTACTGCTGTCTGTCAGGGCAGGTACCCTTGTCAAAAGACAGACTGAAAACTAATCATCTTTAAGGTGTCAGAGTTGGAGAGAGATGGCTATCCCTTCTCCTTGAATGCTAGGGGTAAGCTGATGAGTTCAGTTAGTCTGTAGTATTATTGAAGACATTCATGGATTATTATTATTATTTTTTGCTTCTTTCCCCTCTTATTTTATTTGTAGTATCTTACCTGATGGAGAATGCTGGAGAGCTCAAAACTCTGCACTATCTTTTGCACCATTTTTGTGGGTCCTCAAAAAAGTATTGTCCTACTGTGGACTCTAAGGTCTTCCATAGTAAACCAAAGAAATTTTTCTCTTCTCTTCTCTTCTCTTCTCTTCTCTTCTCTTCTCT